CCGTAGCCACGCCCTCTGGCCGCAATGCGATCTGTCACACGGGATCGCGAGGCGCATTATGCCTGCGGTCCGGTGCGATCAAACTAGTGCTTGCAGCATTTTCATCGGACCGGACCGCAGGCAGTGCGTCTGATCGCATTGCGGCCGGAGGGCGTGTCTACGGTGCCATTCACTTCAATGGCCCGCCACGCCCCCACCTGCCCCACAAAAAAGTGAGCCGGCTGCAATGCGAGGCAGTGCGTTCTGGTCAGAATCGGGCCGGAACGCACTGCATCTGGTGTGAACGGGCCCATAACTGAACAAGCTGAAGATAGAAGCTGATTGGTTACTATGCACGGCTGCTCCAGATTCTGTCTGCTCCGGTTTTAGCAGATTCCTCCCATGGTGTGTTATTGATTACAGAGCAGCATTAAAGGAGAACTATGAGGGGGGGAGGGGCTTTTCACTCACCTCATAGTTCTAGCCGACCTGTGACAATGAGACTGTCACAGGTCGGCTCAGTAGATCGGGAGGTGAGCGAACACATACCAGCGTTCGCTCACCTCTCGATCCTGTCCTTGCAGAGAGAGGTGACTGTCACTCACAGCTCCCTGCAGGGATTCCCGCCCTCCCCTGTCCGATCCTCCAGCGCTGACTGGCGGAACGGACGGGGGAGGGGGCAGGTACAGCTGGCTCTGCCTCTAGATAGGAGGAGCCAGCTGTCACTCACGCAGCTGGGCGGATCTCGACATTGATGTCGGGATCCGCTCCGGCTCCGGCGTCTCAGTATACCGCGAGCTGTAGCTCCCTATATACTGAGCCTAGGGTGACGGGAGGACGCTAGTTTGTGTCCTCCCGTTACCCTGAGGAGAACTATGGGGGAAAGCCCTGACCCCATAGTTCTCCTTTAATCAGTGCATTGTATATTTGACTGAAGTTCAAATTTCATTCCATTTTGATTGGAAGGGATGGAAATCCATGGACTCATCTACCGTTATTTTCTCTTGTACAACAAGCATGGCAACAAGCAAGGGTTGAACACGTCCCATTAGGTTCAACCACTGGTATAAAATCCCGCCTGAGCATAAATGAACAGAGTAGTCCATAGACACGATTTTAGAAGTTTACTATCCCTCAGCACCAAGTTGGTGGTCATCCAAGGTGCTGTAGTCATCCTAATAGTCTCAAACACGTGAGAAGTCTTTTACTGAAGGGAACGGGGAAATTAGACTTTGAAAAATGATGATCGCCCAAAACGACCCATTGACTTTGGTTTGTTCCTTTTAGAAATGGGAGGGAACCCTCTTGAAAACGGAGGCATCGAAGCTGGAGCCTTCAACGGTCTAAAACTCAACTACCTTCGCATCTCCGAAGCCAAACTGTCCGGCATTCCTAAAGGTAACCTGAAACTGACATTATGATGAGAAAATTAGTAAATATATTTATCTTCATTAAAGGAGAACTATGAGGGGGGAGGGGCTTTTCACTCACCGCATAGTTCTAGCCGACCTGTGACAATGAGACTGTCACAGGTCGGCTCAGTAGATCGGGAGGTGAGAGAACACATACCGGCATTCGCTCACCTCTCGATCCTGTCACAGCTCTCTGCCGTGACAGGGGGAGGGGCTGGATTCCCCTCTCCCCGCTCCGATCTGCCAGCGCTGACTGGCGGAACGGACGGGGGAGGGGGCGGGTACAGCTGGCTCTGCCTCTAGATAGGCGGAGCCAGCTGTCACTCACGCAGCTGGGCGGATCCCGGCACAATTGTCGGGATCCGCTTCAGCTGCGGCGTCTCAGTATATAGCGAGCTACAGCTCGCGGTATACTGAGCGGAGGGTGACGGGAGGACGCTAGTTTGTGTCCTCCCGTTACCCTAAGGAGAACTATGGGGAAAAACACTGACCTCAAAGTTCTCCTTTAAAGATGGAGGATGACTGAGGAACCTGGTGAACATTCGATTGGAACACAAACATTCATTACTGGTATCTTCAACCTCCCTGGTTCTTCTCAGGTGACCCAGGCTTAGAGTCCAAGATCCATAAGATTATAGTCAAAGCCCGGATGAAGAAGGGTTGTTTGGCCCTCAAAAGGCATTAGCTGCTTTCTGTTACCAGGAAGCTGACAGCGTGCAGCGCCAATCACAGGCACTGAGACATTTTCCCGGTCCGCAGCTGCAGAGATCCGGAAATGTCTCAGTACCTGTGAGTCAGCTTCCTGGCGGGCTCGGCACGTGGAGCTGCGAACACGCCCGAGCCCATCCTTAGTCACCACCAGAGGTAGGAAGAACTCTATGAGCAGATATCATGAAATATGGCGGATGGTCACTCTTATTTTCTCTAGTATCTCTGTATCTCTAGTTACATCCCTTGCAGAGCCCAATTGAGATCCCACACAGTCCACCTGAGGGTGACCCTGCAGAGCCCACCATAGACTCTCTAAGGTGGGCTCTGCAGGTTCACCCTCCGGTGGGCTGGTTACACTCTTTACCGGTCCGCCTCCTCTTCATCCACCGTCGGTGATGAGCCACGACTCCTCCGCGCGTCGCTGGGCCCCGCCTCCTCCTCTGATGCCAAACCCCGGGCAGGGTATCAGGAATGTCCTGGCCGGGCCCCCCTGTGTTTCCCCCGGGCCCCATAGCGGCTTCCTGGGTCGCTATGGTGACTGTTACACCACTGGTGGCATCATACACACCATAGCACTGTGATGAGTGGTGCGATACAAATATAATGAATGCAGATCTTTCAGAACATAAGAATAGAAGAGCAATAAAAAAAAAACCCATCCTCTTAGGGACACCTTTCCGCTACTTCCACGCCGCAGACCTTTAAAGGAGAACTATGGGGTCAGGGCTTTTCCCCATAGTTCTCCTTAGGGTAACGGGAGGACACAAACTAGCGTCCTCCTGTCACCCTATGTGTTCTCTCACCTCCCGATCTACCGAGCCGACCTGTGACAGTTACATTGTCACAGGTCGGCTAGAACTATGAGGGGAGTGGAAATCACTCATCTCATAGTCCTCCTTTAATGTGAACCTTGCTTTGCGGAACCATACAGTGAACTAAAGCAATTTCATTTTCCAAAAATCTTCAAATTCCCACAAATGTTTTTTGTGTTTCTGTGTCGCCAGGACTTCCAGCTTCTCTTAACGAGCTCCACTTGGACCACAACAAGATTCAGGCTGTTGAGATGGGAGATCTTAGTTCATTACCCAACCTATACAGGTAAGACAAAGAACAGGGTGGGAAGCTTCGGATGAAGGATGGAAGACTGACAGACAATCTGTGCACAGAATGCGCTGCAAGAATATTTCTCCTGAAGGTGAAATGACTTCATACAATGTTCACAGGGCAGGCCAGGGAATCTTCCATTGGGTCCCCCATGCCTCACATGGCGCATTCCGACTCACCTCTGGCTAGCACTATTTCAGTCTGATCGTGTTTGATACTCCTGTATATTTGCCCGTTCCATTTTTTTTATATTAAAGGGGAACTATGAGGGGAGTGAAAATCATCCTCATAGTTCGAGCCGACGTGTGACAATGAGACTGTCACAGGTCGGCTCAGTAGATCGGGAAGTGAGTGAACACATACCGCCGCCCGCTCACTTCTCGATCCTGTCCCTGCAGAGAGTCGCAGGGATTTCCCCCCCTCCCCGCTCCGATCTGCCAGCGCTGACTGGCGGGACGGACGGGAGAGGGGGCGAGTACAGCTGGCTCTGCCTCTAGATAGGCAGAGCCAGCTGTCAATCACGCAGCTGGGTGGATCCAGACAGTAATGTGGGGAATGCGCCCCGGCTGCGGCGTCTCAGTATACCGCGAGCTGTAGCTCCCTATATACTGAGCTTTGGGTGACGGGAGGACGCTAGTTTGTGTCCTCCCCCGACCCTGAGGAGAACTACGGGGAAAAACACTGGCCCCATAGTTCTCCTTTAATATTAACATTAGCAACAAGTCCCATGTTTACTGGTCGGGTGGCAACCCTAGCCTACAGCCTCACAGCTGTATATCTGCAGTATGAGATCACCTAAAGCTGCCCCTGACTGCTGGTCTCACCAGATTTGGAGTGAGATTTGGCCACGTCACCACTGTGCTTGCTCACTGTAGTCCTTGCCGGGGAGGAAGCTGTACCTGTGGACCTGCACTCCACGGATTTCCTTGGTAATGCTTGATTGATTATGCTGATTTTTGCTTCCTCTCTTGCTGCTTCTTGATAATTTCCCCAGCAAGCATTACAACACTAGTCATTAAACCAATATTCATCACCGGGGGAGGGGGGGCTGGTGCACAGCTCAAACACGAGGAAGCAATGCCCTGCTCCTCTGGCAAGATGGTTGCCTTGCCACAGAGACAATGTGCAGAGCAAGGCATGAAAATCACTCACCTCAGAGTTCTCCTTTAAGAACAATGACTGTCAGGCCAGAATTTTCCCCCCAGAAAAAGTTTGCAAAGCCTACCACACCACATGAGTGCCTAGGCACAGGGATTTCTGCTTAGGCACAATTAGATGTTGCTCCTTCACTATAGAGTTCCTATTACAGACAGGGCCGTCTTTAATATTGATTGGACCCTGGGCAAACAATTTCTTGGGCCCCGCCCCTACCCACCAAGCCACGCCCTCTACCTGCCATGCAGTTTCTCTCTCCACCCCAACATCCCAAATCAATTTATTTATTTTATATATTTTTTCTATCAGCCCCCTGTCTTCCTAGCAACTGATGATGCAGATGGGCGGGCGGGCTGGTCTAGGCACGCATGATAGGCTCTGATTCCTGTGCTTTGATTAAAAAAAAAAGTCCCGATACTGGGCCCAGGGCAACTGCCCCTTTTGCCCTGCGTTAAAGACGGGCCTGATTACAGAGCTCAGTAGCTCAACCTCACGATTTACAATAGCAAATAAACATCAGTGACTCCTCCCCCTCACTCCCTCAGCTCCCTACAATCAGGGACAGCAGAGCCTGAAAGGAAACATCCGGTACTGTGCTTTTGCCTGTGCAAAATTTACCAAACCCCATTTTCCCCCCTTTACTACAACTTCTATGTAGGGGACTTTGTCTTTCTGCTCTCATACAATTCCGAGAAATGACTCTTGGGAAAATATTGGCCGCCTAGAGATCAACAAGTAAAGGACAGGAACTCATTATTTTCACCTCTCCTTTTTGGCAGGAAAAACTCTCATTTTACACGACTGAGTCAGATTGCTTTAAACGGGAAGATAATTCCCCTACAGAGTGTTAGATAAACGACGGCCAAAGCAACATACAAATGAACAATCACCAAACAATCACATCCTTGTTTTCTGCCCACAGTCTCTGGTCTTAATTAATGAGAATCCTACAAGTATTGGCGATAACTCCCCGCAGGGAGCCGCTGTGTGCGCGGTCCACATCTAGTTGGTCATGGGGTTGGTCTTCAGGTCCGCCCTCTTCTGGTGCCCACAGACTGATGTCCACTTCAGTAGTAGGATGCTAAGTGAACAGTTTATTGAACATCTTCTTTGGGAGAGAGGGGGGAGGGGTTCTAGGTGTCTAGGGGTAACCATCAGAAGCTCCAGACTCACCGGACCTTGTAAAAGTAGCCATGCAGATCCACCCGGCCACATCAGATAACCACCGATGTACCAGACCGTCCAGATGGATGCAGGAAAGACAACGACCATACACTGAAGTCCACATAGTTCTTCAAGAGCCTGTATTGGTCCCGTGTTCTCTTCCTCTTTCAGTAGAAAAATGTCACCAGCACACCATGAGTTGAAAAAGCAAAATATTTTATTGCCAGTAGCTGTATCTCATTGGCAAGCGCTTTCGGGGCCTCGCAGGGTCCCCTTCATCAGGCTTCCTCTTTCAGTCCCTCAGGCCTCCTCCCTGTTGGAGGCCTCAGGGAAACCTTTTCCCCCACATCAGCCACTGCCCACCCCCAGGCCTCGGCCTCGCCTGGGGGGGGGGGGGGGGCGGGGCGGCCTGAACAGGACCCCAGCCCTAATCCATGTCTGGTCCCAGCGAGAGAGAGAGAGAGAGAGCACATGGCAGCTCCCACCAATATATGTACCATTGGCTGTCCCCCAATATGCAGACATCCCAACCTGCAAAACCTTATTTCAGGGAGGTGCACTTCTCATTTCAGGGAGGTACGTTCTCATTTCAGGGAGGTACCTTCTCTGTTTTTTTTTATTTTGACAGCGGCCGTCGGCCACCTTCACAATAAAACAAACCAACTAACTAGCAGGGGAATGAATAGCTAGGCTGCTATTGGTCATTTCAAATTGCAATAACCAATAGCAGGCTTGCTCTTGTACCCACCCACTGCTGCTGTCAATCAGCAGAGGAGCACCTCAGGTCCACCTCTGCTGATTGACAGCAGCAGCATATAATATTAATAATCACAAATAAAATACAAATAAAATACAAATATTACAAATATTATTTAATTAATAATA